GCCATAATAATAATAATAATTATTATTATTATTATTACTATTAATTTCTTTTTGTCTTTATGGCTTCCTGTAGAATCTCTTAATAAACTACAATACATCAGAATTCAGCAGCTTTACTGACTCATGCAAAGTAATCCACTGTTATTTCTCCAGTTCTCTTTCAGTTACACTGGCTTCTATTATAACTGCTCATATTCTGTTCAGCCTTCTCATTTTCACTGACACAGCACAGCACATTCGCTGTCCATTCGCTGCAAAAGCCTTATTACATTTATACACATACAACGGTGAGTTGTACAAGGTTGTGGTTTGGTGGTCACTGTGAATGACATATCTGGCTGCAGTGGACGCTGATGGACCCTCTCCTAATATAATTAATAATTAATAATCATCTCCCAATGTCCTAAAGCTGCTTATCTGTTTTTCAAATGTAAAATATAAAAGTTAAAATATATATAAATATTAAAATATTTATTCCCTTTTGCATAATAGATTCATATTTTAGGCAGTTTAGTTGGAAGTGCATCTGTTTCTCTCTCTCTCTCTCCTCACTCTCCCCTCTCTCCTCTTTCTCTATACTGTTCTCTCTCATTTCAGTTTCTCTTTCTCCTCACTCTCCCCTCTCTGCTTACTCCTTCCTTTCTCCCTCTCTCTCTCTATTCTTTTTTCTCTTCCCCTTCCTCTCAAATTCAAATTTCATGTACTGTTGCCAAAGCGATTAACAAGGTGCTTAGTACTAAAAGTGGTAATAAAAATGAATGAAGAAATACAGACACACACACACTGTACACAGAAATTATGAGTGAACAAAAATCATCTCACTTGTATGTAATATTTCCCTCCCCCTCTCTCTTTCCCTTTCCCTCTCTCCTCTCTCTCTCTCTCTCTCTCTCTCTTTCTCTCTCTGCCCTCCCCAGCTCTGTGATTTGCTGCATTCTTTGTAGAAGTGCCGGTTATCTATAAATGGAAGCTGCTGTCAGTTTATCAGAGTGGACGAGCTCTCAGCGTTCCTGCGTTACTGAGTGCCGACCAACCAAACACAGCCAAACAGGCGCGTCTCCAGGGCTCTACAGCAGCTTCTGTCCTCACCGTCTGGGCTTAATCAGATGTTAAAATAACCTACACCTGAAATGAGGGCTTTAACATTGACCACTGAGTGACCTGCAGGGTTCGTAGAAACCACTGAGTGAAATGAGGGATCATAGAGACCACTGAGTGAGTTCATAGAGACCACTGAGTGACCTGAGGGATCATACAGACCACTGGGTGACCTGAGCATTCGTAGAGACCACTGAGTGACATGAGGTTTATAGAGACCACTCAGTGACTTGAGGGATCGTAGAGACCATATAGTGACCTGAGGGTTCATAGAAACCACTGAGTGACTTGAGGGTTTATAGAGACCACTGAGATCTGGGTTCACAAAGACCACAAAGTGACCTGAGGGTTTAAAGAGACCACTGAGTGACCTGAGGGATCATAGAGGCCTGGTTGAAAATGGTTTAATATAGCACCAAAAAGGGTTCTGCTGTTGTTACTATGTCAAGCTTCTAAGCGCCTTTTTAGTATTGTATAGAACCATATACACAAAATTCTCCATCTCAAGAACCATTTCACCAGGTAAAGAACCCGATGCATGCAAATGGTTCTTTCATTGTTCATGGTTCTATGATAAACCTTTGTCTTTACTAAAGAACCCTTGACAAAGCATCTTTTTTGTATTTATAGCTCGTAAATAACGGCACATAGCATCTAAGCTCATACATGCAATTGGTTTCCTAAGTTTTGCCACTTCTTTAGTTACTACGGCAACCAATGTGGATCTGTGAGCTAATGCAACTACAGTCAGAGCAGACAAATTGGATTTTGGTCACTTGTTTAGCTTATGTCTCCCACAGCATCCAACCCCAATGCTCAATACAACTCGGAGAATGTGGTGTCTAGGGGCCGTATTACAGAAACTCCCTATCTTTGTGTCCTAACTTAGGATCTGACGGGTCAAGATAAGATTTTTCACAAATTCGTATTGCAGGAGCAAATCTGACCTTAATTTAGGAATCTTCTCTTATCTTACAGCATCTTATCTTTTCTTAAGTTAGGAAATCTTAACTTACTCAATCAAAGTCGACAATCAATTGTCATGTCTGTTACCTAACAACCAAACGTACGCGCGCAGCTGAAACCTAAACACGTAATCAAACTAGTTAGCCAGACAGCTAACATTAGCTACTCAAATACAAAAAAAATAAAAAAGATCAAATAAATCTAAAGCGCGATTTACTGAAAGTTAAGAATATTGTGACAGAGCTTTGTGCTGTTTATCAGAGTGTTGCCACTTTCCAATTTCAATTTTATTTCCCAAACACTTTAGCCGAGCGTGCTAACGTCCTCCTAACAAAGAGACATTGGTTCAGCTCCGTCTCCTCATTATTCACCAACATCACTGTAATATTGAATCATCAACATTAATACACAAAGGTAATAAGAGGGGATGTGTGCAGATTCTTAAAATGCTGTTAGAAAAAAATCTCATAAGTCAAAGCAAATTTTTAATGTAGAAATGTCATTATGCTAGTTATAGTGAACTATGCTGCCTGTCACGGCAAAAAACAATAGAAACAGACAGTTAAACAGAAGTTAAGACAGCTCTGGAGTTGTCTTAAAGTTAGGACAGTATTTAGGAGATTTAGTCCAGTTCGGATGCTTCTGTAATACTATTATCTTATCTAGAGTTAATGATAAGATTATGAACTTAAGAAATGTTGTTCTGTAATAGCTTCTGTCCTAAATTCAGTCCTAACTAAAGCTGTCATGGTGACTAATACACATATATAGCACCCTTATTATGTTGCCTTTTTACTTGTATAATGTATAATATTGTATAGTGTATAATATTTATACTGAATGTACTTGTATAATGTGTAATATTTTGTTCTATGTCTTGTGTCTATATTGGGTGAAGCTGGGTATTGTATCATTCTTCTTTGTCTTTTTCTTCTTCTTTTTCTTCTTATCATTATTATTGTTATTAAATGCCATCAAGTCTTTTCTGATTCTGGTGACCGCATGGGTGATGTTTCTCCAGAATGTCCTGTCTTATGTCTGGGTCTTCAGGCTTTTGAGTGGCTGGTTTATGATTTCACTAATGGTCTTCATTCATCTTGTAGCTGGTCGTCCTGTTTCTCCTGAGGTGAGGCTTGATTTGTTCAGGGATTCGTTGTGTTTGTTTTCTTTGCCATCAATGCTTCTTTTAAAAGTCTTCGCCAACAGCTTCAACAGCATCTATATTTGTTCTGTCTCCTGAGGGCAAAAGCTGTCCATCATTTCCACATATTTTCATTGTATCACTGCAATTTAAATGATTCTCATTATTTACAGCAGAATTATTTACTACAATATTGTCACTGTCCAAAGAAAAACATGTATCTCCATTTTTTGCAATTTTTACTGTTGTACATCATTTGAGTATGATTGTGATTTTCCATAAGACCAAATAAAGTATGTTACCAGAATTCCAGAATAAACAATACTTTTCATTAACATTATTAATAATGGCACTGAGGTTTTGTCAAACTTGAATCACATATTGACAAAATCGGTGAATAACTGACTCTGGGTTGCTGCTACAGAACAAACAAGCTGATTCAATATTATGTTAAAATTTTATTGTGTAATTTTTAGCTGTGTGGATTTTACATATACACGGTATGGGTTATTGAGCCCTATCAGGAGATGGATGTTGCTGCTCTTTCTTCCGTTATACAAATACTAACCAATTAGACCATAGATATACATACCTAGATGTCACATTGCCTGTTGTTCTCTATCTGAGGAAATACGTCTGAGTGTGCGCCATGTTGGAGCAGTCAAGATCCACTTGTGATGAGTTCTCAGGATTAAATCGGCCATAATAAAACTTCCTTATTACTCAACCGATTTTCACCAATTTTTTTTTATAATCCACAGACACAGATTAATCTAGGTTGCACTGCTCTCGGTATAGCTTTTTTTTAAATAAATGATTGTGCTAATCACCCATCCAGACCAGCAGAAAAGTATTCAGTCTGTACCCGACGTGAGTTTAGCGCGAGCTCCAGTAGAAACACAATCAGCAAATCCATCAATGTGTGAATGACTTTTAATCTTAATACACAGAGGACAAAGCTAAAGTTGGCTTTCTATTAGCTCGCTTCTTGTTCGGGTTTTCTTGTTTCAGCAGTCACTTTCTGGTGCCTGAAGCTGCACCATTTAAGGTGGAACGGGAAAATTTGAACAAGAAGCTGGCAAATAGAAGCTAACTTCAGTTTCGTGTAAGTCAGGTTCGTGTAAGAAGGTGCTAACGTTAATCTGCTATGAATATCTACACAGATTAACGAATGCTATAACTTACCTAGCTACAAACCATCTTTGTAAATAAATAACTACTATATAAAGTTAAGATCCCCTGAATTGACTGTTAAATGAAATAATATAAATATAAAACCAGAGGAAAAACAATCACATCGACAGGTTCTCTGTGCCTCACCAATCACACGGCCATATCTACAAATAAACATAACGCAAAAAATAAGCATCACACAAACAATAATCATACAAACCTGAGCGTGGATCGCTGCGTTCCCTCCGTTATACAATCCTATCCCGCTTTCTGAGTGCAATATTGTTGAAATAGTATAATTTTGGACAGTATCTTTCTTAAACTGACGCTCTTTAATGGCACTGAACGCAGTCCAGCAGCGATGTTGACCGCCCTAAAATGGCGGCGCCGTTGACATGCCTACCTGGACCCAACGCGGCATCTAGGTATGTATATCTATGAATTAGACGAGCGAACAAGCGCTTAATCCCCGCCCCCTGTGCTGGGATTGGCTAGTAGGATCCCTCCACCTGCGCTGGGATTGGTTCATAATCATTATAGCTACCACCGCCCCCCCATTCAGAGTGCAAAGGGGGACTGATCTGTAGGGCGGTGTTGACGTCACCGACAGGGCGGGGCTCCACCGGAGCATCACTGAGTCTGAAAGCAGCTGAAGCTGAGCTGAGCGTCCAGCAGCGAGATCAACCTCTCACTCGGAGCAGCGAGATGGCCTCAAAATGTCCCAAATGTGACAAAACGGTGTATTTCGGTGAGTGGTGCTCTTACTTTATTTCACATTGCTGTATTTTTTTTTCAGGCGTTAACAGAAGCCCACCCTCCGCCTGCGTGACTGACCCTTCCGCTGAGCCTTCAGCTTTAATTAGACTTAAAGGTGTTTCCAGTTAAAATGGGAGATCAGGCCTTTTCCCTCACATTAATCTCGTTTAATATCGCGCTAATCTCTGCAGTAGCTGCTTTTCCAGCCGCCTGTGTCGCATCATTTTTATTTGATGTCCTTTTTAGTCCTGTAACGTGCTCTTCCATTTTCCCTGAACGTGCTCAGCCTCTACAGCCTCACATGTCCTGTTTAACATAAAACATGCACTAAAATGTTCTCAAACAGCACCTTTATGCCTGTGTGGAGGGTCAGATACAGTCTGTGCAGGTTGAACAGTGAAAGCATGTGGACCATCTGAGTGTTTCACATGTAGATAATGTAGCTAATGGAAAATTACACACACCTAAAAGCCGAAGTCTAAAACATATATATGATTTTGTACCTATAAAATGTCCACACAGCACATAAATCGTTAACGTTGCATGGTAAAAAAAAAAAATCTAAAATTTCAAAATATCTAAAATATTTTATATATTTTAGGTTTAAATTGTCATTTTTGTCTGGTTTATATATAAGTATTTTTATTTATGTATTTACATATACAGCAGTAATATTTAAAAAGCTATTTAATATTTTATATCTGAAACAGGAGGGCTGTGGTCAGCAGCAGCTTTTAACCAATAAAGGGCCCATAGCTTGCTTTTTGGGTCTGTTTTCTTTTTTTCCTGAGATCCACATACAACATGGAAACTCATTTTTATGATAATTGTCCAACCTTCAGAATAAAGCAGGTTGTGCCTTCAAGACTGGTATGTGTAAATGAGCTTTTTCAAAAAGCAGTCCAAGCTGAAACATTCCTTATAACTTCAGTATGAATGGGTGGGGCAAAACAGCTGTAGGCTGAAGGGACGGGGGCTAGCGTGCTGTAGGCTGGATGGGCGTGGTTACACTGCTGTAGGCTGGATGGGCGTGGTTACACTGCTGTAGGCTGAATGGGTGTGGCCAAACTGCTGTAGGTGCAGTGGGTGGGGCTGAACGGTTGTAAGCTGAATGGGCAGGGCCAAACTGCTGTAGGTGCAGTGGGTGGGGCTGAACGGTTGTGGGCTGAATAGGTGGGGCTAAACTACTGTAGGCTGAATGGGTTGATATGTAAATAAGTTGTTCATGACATCACAAAATCACTTAATTTAACAAACAGGCTGTTGTTGCTGCTTTAGTAGCAAAAAAAAGTTTTTTTTCACAATATGAGCTCTTTAATATTTGATTATTAAAAGTCTGATTGGAGGAAAGCAGGAAATTAAAACAGTTTAATTCCCTGGAGAGAGAAATATTTCCCTGCATTCAGGACCAGCTGGTGAGGAGAACATAAAAGATAAAAGAGAGGAAATAAAAGATAGAAATTAGATATAAATAATTAAAAACAAGTGAAAAGTCTAGACTGAAGGTGCTTAAGTGTCAAAGGCACAGGAAAGAAGAAGTGACTGAAGTCTGGATTTAATATTGACATTAACATTTAATGCCAACTTATTGACTTAGTTAATGCTAACTTATGAACTCTGTTAATGTATGGCCTCATTAAATTATATTATTGCTAATTTATTAAAGTGAGTTATCAGTAGTATTATCAGTAGCTTAATAACTACAGGTGAGTGTTTGTCAGAGTTTAATTCTATCAGACAGTTTCTGCTCTGAATAATTCACTGTGCAGCTGCTCCTCTGCTGGTGTTTTTCCTCCTCTTCTCATCCTGAGAGGGTTCTTCTAGTGTTTTTGTTGTGCTTTTCATTGAGAAACAGCTGTTCGCTCTCCTTTAATTATGTTTATCAGAGGCCTGAGTGGATGTGGGAGCAGCAGACGAACCTTTAATTCCCTAAAAGATGCTGTTTTAATGTGTGGATTTGCTGGTGTGTGGTGTCTTCCATAAACACACCTGCTCCCTCACACTGCTTTTAGGAAGAGCAGCTAACTACACGCTAAAGAGGAATTCCACTGCTTTCTCTAAATTCTCTCCTTAATTCAGTGTGTGAGGTGTAAACAGAGTGATTTAGAGTGGTTTGGTGTGAAATGGTTCAGATGTCTTTACAGTGGTGGTGATAGGAACCAGGGGTCGCCATGACTACAACACAAATATTTACTATCCAAAACCATCAGTGAACCTACACGAGTCTTCTGAGTTTTATATGGAATGTTGATGATGTGAAAATAGTGGAAAATCTGAAATATGTTTTTTTATTTGAGGACTATTTTGCCTCACAGTGCCCTGCATGTTATGTATCCTTCCACCATGAATTGAGTTCTCAAAGTTCTTAAGTTCTCAAAACTATCATAAAACAGTGTCTCAGACATCAGGCAGTGTATTCATAACTTTCTGTGAAGGAGCTTCTAGAGGTGGACGTCTGGTTCCTATCAGCACCACTGTGAACAATTCTGACTCAGTAAGTTTCTCTAGAACGGAGCATTTCACACCAAACCACTCTGAATGAACTTTGTTGACATCTTAGCCAATTAATTTTAAAAATGTATTTTACATTTTGGCCAAAATGTAAAAGGCCTCAGAATTTTAATAGGCACACATTTATTAGAATCTGTTTATTAGAATATTTTTTATAACAAATTGATGTAATCTAGTACTTTCAGATCAATGCATTTTTACAGCATTAATAAGATTTAGCCCCACCCATTCAGCCTACAGCATGTAGGAAAATTATAGAATAAGGGCTCTTTAAAGACATTTTGATCTTAAAGTTGTTTTCTAAGACAAATTCAAATTAATGCCCGATTAAAATAAAAAAAGTCATTTTAAAAATGTAGTTTTCATGTAGATCAATTGTTCTTTCATATGAATGACTGTATGTCTCTGTTCTTCTTTATAATCAGTTATGATCTATTATAACATTGTAAAGTTGATGCAGTCCAATTTTCACATCAGTGCATTTTATCTCTGTTAATAAGGTTTCATTCATCCAGTCATTTGCAGAAAGCTTGCAGAGGAATGTGACCTGGATATTCTGGGATGTTCTGACGTGCGACTGACTGATAAGAGTCTTTCACTATCAGTGTCCTCTCCCCCACACCCCCCCTCCAAGCGCGGGGGGACACATTTTTGGAAGGGACATGCAGATCCAGCTCCACGCTGAGAAATTACCTGCATGAGGCTCCGGAACTATAATTACAGATGAACACAGTCAGACATATGAACCTCTAGATTCTCTCTGCAGTAATAATGATGCATTTTATTTAGAAAGTGCTCTTCATTTAGATGAAAATCTCAAGGTGCTATGAAGGTGAATTCAATACAAACATATTAGCATAACATTTAGAAAAAGACAGTTCACAGCCAAAATAAAAACAAAGAAGAAAGTCATAAAAGCAGCAAACCATCATAATATTTAATAAAAAGCGTTTCTAAATTAAAAAAAACTCCATGCCATGCTCAGTGTCAAAAAATAAGATTTAAGAAAAGGCCTTTCTACATAAAAATGCCTTCAAGCCAGTTTTAAAAGCTGTCAGTGTCTGTGGAACCTTAAACTATCAGGAAGGGCATTCTGAAGGCAAAGGAGCAGCTGAAGAAGAGGCTCGATCGCCCGTTTAATGCAGTTTAAATCCATCGTGAGTGTCTTAGGTGCACAATTTTGAATGTATTGGAGCTCCTGGATAAATTTGGCTGAAACTGCAGTAAAAGAGCATTAGAATAATCAAGTCTCAATGAAACAAAGGCATGAACAGGCCTCTCTGCTTTGGATAGTGTTAGAATAGAGCCTCTTCACATTTCTGGGTTCTCACGTTTGTCAGTTTCTGTTAGCAGGTATATTTCATTTCCGGTCAAACCAAAGCAAATGGCCCAGTCCAGCTTTAAGGTGTTGAGCTGTGTTCCTCAGAGCCACAGAAACAGCCACATCTGGGATTTCATAATGTGCGCTTGGTCGAAAATATAAGATCAAAATGGATCCAGTCAGTCTGAAGGGTAGAGGGTCCTAATTTTAGTAAATGCTGTCACTTTCCAAGAGTGATATTTTTAAGACTCGAGTCAATTCACGCTTAGATGTGCTGCTGTGTCTGCCGGTTCTTTTGGAAAAACTTTCAAATACCTGAGATTCGAGAGTATTCAAGAGCGTCCACTCGGTTTGGAACCGATGTTAACAGCCAGGACAAAGTCAGCTTCTCATTCAAACGTCCTTTCAACCTTAAATGATGCAGCAGCCACCTTAAATGGTGTGCAGGCACCAGAACATAGCTGCAGCGCTGTTTAAGGTGGAGCAGAATAAGACACCGAGTTCAGCGTCAACAGAAGAAGCAGCCCGACCGAACAGAGCACTGCAGTTGCAGATTCAACCTCGTTTGTTGGTCAGTGCTGGACGTCTCTGATTAGCAGAGTCAGTGGAAATTGGAAAGTCCTGGCCAGAAATCTTTATCAGAAAACCCTCTACCTTGTATCTCCACCTCGCTTCAGTTTTATTAGCCATGCTCCACCCTTTCATCAACGGTCAGTTTCTGACCACAGAGCTGCTATTGGCTGGATATATTTGGGTGGTGGACCTCTCTCTCAACCTATATTCCCACACTCGAATAATATCTGGACATCAGCGGTCCTTTGACCAGAATCTGACCAATGATGAATAGAGTCGAGGGCAGCTGATAAACTGTACAGCAACAGATTCATTACAGTCCCTACCTGTACACCTACATAGTGGAGATATATGATGGGTGTTTCTAATAAAGTGGCCAGTTAGTGGAAGCACAAGGTGGGTGTTTCTAATAAAGTGGCCAGTTAGTGGAAGCACAAAGTAGGTGTTTCTAATAAAGTGGCCAGTTAGTGGTCTAGACAAATTTAAAAGCTGATTCATGTGTGATTGCTCTCACTGAGAAGAAATGTTGGCACATTTCTGATGTTCTGAGTGATGTTCTGATTCTCTCTCTCTCTCTCTCTCTCTCTCTCTCTCTTTGTGTATGTGTTTCTCCTGCTGTGGTTCCTCAGCGGAGAAGGTGACTTCTCTGGGGAAAGACTGGCACAAGTTCTGTCTGAAGTGTGAGCGCTGCAACAAGACCCTGAACCCTGGAGGACACGCCGAGGTAGAGAGAGAGTAGTAGTAAAGAATGAGAGAATGTGGAGTAAATATTAGCTGAGATGCAAATAAGTCTCCAGCTCTGAATCAGAGTCTTCATTCACCAAGTACAGAGATTATGAGCAGATCAAACAGTGGAATAACTCTGATTCAGTGCAAAGAAAATAAGTGCACTCTATATATTAATTACTTTGAAATAATTTTAATTAGGAAATGACAGGCTAATTCAGTTTACTCTCGGGCTTCACTGTCATTCAACTGTTTGGATCCACCTGACTGAAGGCTTTTTAATTTTGTTGAAGGGACCATATCATGGAAAACCAAATTTTCCTTTCTTTTTTAAATAGAGTTTGATACAGTTTAGAAACATCGTAGAAGATTTAAAAATACTGTTAATTCTCCAGAAATACAGTCGATATATGCAAACTAAAAAACCCACACATTTGCATGTCAGCCCACTCAGCCTACAGAGGTTTAGCTCCACCCAGTTAGCCTACAGCAGTTTAGCTCCGCCCATTCAGCCTACAGCAGTTTAGCCCCACCCATCTAGCCTACAGCAGTTTAGCCCCACCCATCTAGCCTACAGCAGTTTAGCCCCACCCATTCAGCCTACAGCAGTTTAGCTCCACCCATCTAGCCTACAGCAGTTTAGCCCCACCCATCTAGCCTACAGCAGTTTAGCCCCGCCCATTCAGCCTACAGCAGTTTAGCCCTGCCCATTCAGCCTACAGCAGTTTAGCCCCACCCATCTAGCCTACAGCAGTTTAGCCCTGCCCATTCAGCCTACAGCAGTTTAGCTCCACCCATCTAGTCTACAGCAGTTTAGCCCCGCCCATCTAGCCTACAGCAGTTTAGCCCCACCAAAGAAATTTAGCTTTAGAACTGCTATCATTCTGACACACTATTAACTGTGTTTTTAGTAAAGTTAATTAAAGTTAATTATCAGAACATCTGTCCTCATTAGTGCATTAAAGCTAACTAAGTGTTAAAGGTCAGTATTTCTGACTGGAGTAATTCCTTATGAACTATTCCACAGTTTTGATGTTTTCATTATTATTCTATAATGTGATAAATGTTAAATAAAAAGAAAATCTGCTGTGTGAGTAGCGTTCAAACGTTTCGACTGGTAGTGTACATCTTAACCAAACTGTGCTCTAAAGGCTGAGTATATGGTGATGTAAGGGCTTCAGTAAGAAGCCGATCACTCCTCCGCTGGTAGTTACGCCCCTTCAGCAGAAATGCCAACATCTACAGTAATAAATAATTTGCAGAATGAGTAGAACACTGCGAGTGCACTGAAGAATTTTGCCTGCATCCTGCCGTCATCACCTGCGTGGGATGCGTCGCCCTGTACTGGACTCTGATTGGATCAGAGAGAAGCGTCCGATGTCGCCGTGTGGTCAGTTTTGCGGGCAGCCTTTTCTGATTAAATGGAGAAAAATGAATATCCTCTCTCTCGTACTCTCAGAGAATAAGAGAGAGGTTTCAGCATTTTTATGTATTTTTCAAGTTGACTTTTAACTTTTTCATTGGACCAAATCTGGTAACTTTTTACTGTATGGTTCAGTTCATAAGCCTACATGACACCTACATAAGCTGGTCATGACAACTGACATAAATGTTTTTAAATTTTTATTTCAACAGGTGTCATCTGTCATAAAGACTACTTTATCTAACTTTGATCCGAATTGGCAAGTGTAACCTTTATAGCGAATGAGGCCTGTTAGGCATTTTTAACCATTTACAAAGGATTATGTCAGTTTTCATGACACCTTTATGTAGGTGTCATGTAGCCTTATGAACAGCAGTAGTGTTAGTGTGAAAGTCCGAACCACACAAAAAAGTGTTTTCACGCTTCAGAGAAACTGAACCATGGCTCAGATTAATCTGGACCAAAACCACCTCTTTTGGTTGGACCGTATTTTGGTCTTTGGTCCAGAACCGAGAAATCTTTCACTCCTGCTATTTTGGGTCGGAGCAAACTGAAAAGCTGAAGGTCCGGACCAAATAAGGTAAGTGTGGAAGCTCCCTAAAATGACTTAGAAAGATGTAGAACGTCAAGCTGTAATACAATTAATATTCAGAATTAATCATATTTCAAAAGTGCAGACCTCAATTAACAGCCCAAAGTGATTTACAACCCTAAAACACAGTAAACAGAGTGTGAACATGCAAACAGTGATTTGTAAACCATCTGTAACGTTTTGTTTTATTTTCACAGCATGATGGGAAGCCATACTGCCACAAGCCATGCTACGCTGCCCTCTATGGGCCCAAAGGTGCAGTACAGCTAATTAGCGTCTGTGTTTGATGCTAATTTGTGGTGTAAAGTAGGACATTTTCTCCCTCGATGGCACAAACACTTCATTAGAGACGCAGACTCAACATCACAGCTTCTGAATCTCTGCAGTCTTCCAGTATGTGGGTCACCATATTAAACCTGCTTCTGGATCTAATGAAGGATGAAAAAGTGAAAATAGTATTTAATACTGACTGTATTTGACTGTATTTTGCTCTGATTGAGCCGATTGAGCTGACTGAGCTGATTTCAGGTGTGCTCTGCTCTGCTCTTCTCTCTGCAGGTGTAAATATTGGAGGTGCTGGATCGTACGTGTATGAGACGCCGGTCAATGATGCTCCTGTCAGCACTGGAACAGAACCGGAGCCCAAAGCTGAAGAGAAGAAAGCGGGTCCTCCGAACCGCGGACCAGTGAAGGGTGAGAACATCACAAATCATCTGGAGTACTCCTGCTGCTGAGTAGGGCAGAGTATCATTCAGAACATCAGTACCTTAAACACTGATTCTTCAGTAATACATACACACACACTATATGGCCAAAAGTATGTGGACACTTGATCGTAGCACCTATATAAGCTTGTTGGATGTCCTATTCCAAGTCCATGGGCATTAATATGGAGTTGCCCCCCTCTATAACAGTCCATTCAGTCAAAAGAGCATCTGTGAGGTCAGACACTGATGGTAGACGAGAGGGCTGACTTTGCCTCATTGCATCAACAATTGAAATGATCAAAAGAGAGAAGTCCTGTTTGTTTTTTCACTGTTGAATAAGTTGTAGGGTTTATTTTGATTGTTATCTTCCGCTCTTTTCATTCAGCTGCGAGCTTCTCATCTTTCTCTGGACAGCCCAACATCTGCCCACGCTGCAGCAAAACTGTGTATTTTGGTAAGTTCTCACTGCTTTAAACTGTTCATCACTACATAAGACATACTTTCCTCTAGTTCTGCTCCCTGGAGCTTTTGTGAAGCCTCTACTGAATACACTACCATTTCAGAAAACATCAAACACATAAAATGAAAATCCATCCATCAACTTCACACATACACGCTGAGGCCACGGCTGCTTCAGTGGTGTACCTGAGTGAACAGGTGTGGGCTATGTTGAATGCTTGAACAGGTTTGAAGCTATTTTAACTCTTGTTGCTCATGGACAGAGTAGGATGAGTCAGAATATTTGAACATTCAAATAGTCATTAAATAGAAAAAATAAATAAATCAAAAAGTAAATTACTTTTTTGATATCATATTTGATCTTCCACCAGAGGGTGGTGTAGAGATTCATCCTGCATTTTGGACTGCAGTTCTGATCACCGTCTAAAGACTACCACACGCCATCTAAAGACTACCACACACCAACTAAAAACTACTGCAGCCATCTAAGACTGCCACACACTGTCTAAAAACTAGCACACACTGTCTAAAGACTACTGCACACCGTCTTAAGGCTACCACAGCTATCAAAAGGTATCGCATACCATTTAAAGGTTACCACACACCATCTAAAGACTGCTGCAGCCGTCTAAAGGCTACCACACACCGTCTAAAGGCTACCACACACCGTCTAAAGGCTGCTGCAGCTATCTAAAGGCTACCATACACCGGCTAAAGACTACTGCAACCATCTAAAGACTACCATTCACTGTGTAAAGACTACCACACACCATCTAAAGGCTACTACACTGTCTCAAGGCTACCACTCACCATCTAAAGGCTACTGCACACTATCTAAAGACTACTGCACTCCATATAAAGCTACCACACATGATCTAAAGGCCACCATACACTGTCTGAAGACTGCTGCACACCATCTAAAGGCTACCACAGCCATCTAAAGGTTACCACACCGTCTAAATGCTTTCACACACCATCTAAAGACAACTGTACACCATCTGAAGGCTACCACAGCCGTCTAACGGTAACGCAAAAACAGCGACTGCACCCCAAACAAGAAGCACCATGTAGCAAAAAATACATAGCTATAGCATTTTCAAAAATTCCCTAAAATCATTTTACTAAATATTGTATAGATTTAATGGAATCAAATTTTCGACATCATTTAATGAATTTATCAGGTTTAGAACCAGATAATTATTTCTTCATAAACTCACTGTTCAACAGTAAAAAGATACAAGGAATACAGTATCACTAGGCTAATAACGTTAGCTGAGGTAACAGGTGATTTAGCATTTAGATTGATTGGGATTATCCAGAATGTGAAAAGATGAATATGGTGTTTTTGTATTTTGTTATATTTTGTTGTTTTGTGTGTTGTTTTTCCGTCTGTTAGCTGAGAAGGTGACGTCTCTGGGTAAAGACTGGCATAGGCCCTGTCTGCGCTGCGAGCGCTGCAGTAAGACTTTGGCTCCAGGGAGCCATGCTGAGGTGAGCAGTACAGCTGAACCATTTGGACATCTGAATCGTCAGTACACAGACACTGCTTAACAGCCATTAGTGTTAATGTGTATGTTTTACAATTTTTACATGCATTTTGTTTATGGACCTGTTTTTGTTTCGTTTTTGTCTGTAACTCAGACTCTTTGTGAAAAGGCTGCAAGGCTTGTGGCACATCTGTGGTGCAAACCGACATTGAGCAGGATATACTGAATATGAAACTGTAAAACTAATCAGTTTGAATAATATATATGTGTGTGTGTGTGTGTGTGTGTGTGTATTTTATATTTTGTCCAGATTTATTGATTTTTTTTGAAAATCGCTTTTCATCCCAGCCCTAGACTTTATATGATGATCTATGGGTCTTCAGTAAAATCTTTTTCTGTAAAAAGTGGTTATATTTTTGTTTAGTGTAAATCAGCCGATCATGTTAGGAGTGAATATTGGCTTCATGTGTTCTTTTAGCAGAAAATGTCTTCCAGAGTGACTGTCATAATGTGTAAACAGTGGGCAGAGCTAAACGGAGGACGTTTCTGGAGAATCTGCGATGATTTTTGACCTGAAAGTACAACATCTACAAAATCAGAAACAGTGCTGAATGTGTGTTTTCTGTTGCAGCATGATGGTCAGCCGTACTGCCATAAACCGTGCTACGCAGTGCTCTTCGGACCGAAAGGTACTCAATCATCTCATAGAACATCTGAATTATAGACATTTTTCAGAATTCATATGACTCATCCTGCTGTTACCACTTATTTCCCATTTCTGTACATACTTACAAACAATGGTTAATCAAGGGTTCTTTGGTAAAGGCAGTGGTTCTGTTTAGAACTTTCATGCTTAAATGGTTCTTTGCATGGTGAAATGGTTCTCAGACTGATGGAGAATATGTTGTATATGATTCTATACAGAACTTCTTTGAAAAGGGTTTTGTTGCTGTAATGATATCAAGCTTATAACAATAACTTTGTTAGTTATTATAGCTGGTTGTATTAAAGAAGCCAGTATAAAATGAGTTTAACACGTTATCTGTGGTGTACTGCAGTGTTCTGTAGTGCAGCGTTATATCCTTCAGCCTCTTCAGCTTAAGTGGATTCGCAATTTGTATCATTTTTCAAGTTTTCATCCATCTTTCACTACACTTCCCAGCATGCATTGTCCAAATACATCATATAATCATTGGGAATCTTTGGGGGTCAGCTGTAGACTGAATGGGTGGGGCTAAACTGCTGTAGGCTAAATGGGCAAGGCTAAACTGCTGTAGGCTAAATAGCTGGTACTAAACTGCTGTAGGCTGAATGGGTGGAGTTAAACTGCTGTAGGCTGAACGGGCGGGGCTAAACTGCTGTAGGCTGAGTGGGTGGAGTTAAACTGCTGTAGGCTGAGTGGGTGGGGCTAAACTGCTTTAGGCTGAATGTGCAAGGTTAACCTGCTGTAGGCTGAATGGGCAGGGCTAAACTGCTGTAGGCTAAATGGGCAAGGCTAAACTGCTGTAGGCTAAATAGCTGGTACTAAACTGCTGTAGGCTGAATGGGCAGGGCTAAACTGCTGTAGGCTAAATGGGCAAGGCTAAACTGCTGTAGGCTAAATAGCTGGTACTAAACTGCTGTAGGCTGAATGAGTGGAGTTAAACTGCTGTAGGCTGAATGGGAGGGCTAAACTGCTGTAGGCTGGGTGGGCAGAGCTAAACTGCTGTAGACTGGACGGGTGGGGCTAAACTGCTGTAGGCTGGATAGGCGAGGCTAAACTGCTGTAGGCTGGATAGGCGAGGCTAAACTGCTGTAGACTGGATGGGCAGGGCTAAACTGCTGTAGGCTGGGTGGGCAGAGCTAAACTGCTGTAGGCTGGACGGGCGGGGCTAAACTGCTGTAGGCTGGACGGGCGGGGCTAAACTGCTGTAGGCTGAATGGGCAGATAAATGTGTTAGTTTTTGTGACATCACAAGAACAATGAATTTAAAGCAGGCTGTTACAGTAGCTTGATTTCCATGTATGTACTGGAGACTAAACAATATGTTGTAAAACTTGAACCATGTTTACATATTGCATAAAACTCCTTTATTTAAAAACCTTTTCATTGGTGAATTCAGTCTAAGACTAGGATTAACCCATGTGCAGGAATCTGGCTTTGTGTATTTGTTTGGACTGTTAATATTAATTTCAGACATTAATGACTGATCTAATGCGCCATATCATTTATCTGTATAGGAGTGAACACTGGAGGGATGGGGAGCTACATCTACGAGGAGCCGAGCGCCGAGAATCAGCCGTGAAAAAAAAGAGTTTAACTCGTCCTGGCCTGCTCATCTAGTTCAAACCAGTTTTATCCTCTATATCTCGAATGTGTGGAACTAACTAGTTTATCGTGTGCCAATCTCATTTACTAATTAATAAGAACCTTACACGAGCATAGCCTTGCCGTATTTATATACTTTGTACTTTTTTAATATAGAAGACGTAGCATTTAGCTGAATTTGCTAGCTGCCACCGGCTGAACAGTGTTACTTATCTTGATCTGTGATGTTTTTAATGAACAACACCTACACGATAGTTGATGTAAGAGGCCTTTTTGGCCCACTTAATTTATTGTTTATTGACTGTGCCTGTTTTCTATTGGTTAACTGTGCACCTATTTGCTTGTTACTGTTGATGATGTCACAAAGTTTTGTACAATTAAAAAAAGCGTGTTGTGAAGTTTGTGTGACTGGTTTTATTTCAAGACCAACAATCAGAAGCTATTTATAAGCTAAGAGGTTAGCTTTAGCTTCTGTTTGTGTAGCATTACAGTGCCAATATGTCATCGGTTGTGCAGGTGTGGCAAAAAGTGAAGGTAACGAGTTTAATCTTAAAGAGGTTTTACTGAAATTAGAGCATTCACCACCATTTAAAGCTGTGATACAGTGAAGCTGCTGAAGGTGAGCTGAGAGATTCTGCAGTGTGGTGCTGAGGCATGAAGCTGTCTGGTGGAGGATGTTCTTACTATGCTGTACGGCGGTGACAGATGGTGCAGCCGACACTCTCTCGCTTTAAGGACGGTTCAGATCCACACAGACTTCCTCCTTCATGCTTCTCTGTCCCACTGTCGGCTCCTCCTGAGCGTGTTGGCTGTTCTCTGTTGAAGGAGCATCTCTCGTCCTTTAGAGTCCATGACTTCCTCGCTGCAGTAGGCCGCACCTAAGGCAGCTGCTGCCAGAAAGTAGCACAGCCCCAAAATCGTGATTTATTTATTTATTTTTTTTGGTGATTCATGATTCATGTCAATTCTTACATTGACATGTAAGGCCAAAGTTACGTCCTTGTGCCTCAGGCCTTCTTGTCTGAACTTTACCTTAACTGCTGTACCGTTTAAGGTGGAATGGGAGAATTTGAACAAGAGTAAATTGAATAAAATTTGCATTCCTCTGTAAAATGGCTACTGCAAACCTGAGTTTTCTGTGGCAGTTTGGCTGGGACTGTCCAATTTTTCCAAATAAACTGCAGCAGTTTTTCAGATCCTTTGGTAAAATAGAAAGGCTCACATTTTCTCCTTTAACTTTGCATTCAAAAACTAAACATATCTCTGTCATCGTTTAAAAAAAAAAAAGAACTTGGCTTGTAACTGTCACTGGTTGTCACTGGTTACACCTGACTCTGCCACACCTCGTTCCTCCTTATTATTATGCTAATGATAGGTCTATATGAAACCCTGGCTGTCTGACGCCTGGTCCATTTGTACATGGGTATTCTTTAAAATGGGGGGTTGCTTCCCTTGCTTTTTTAAAAAAAATCTCTGTCCACATGATGAGATTTCACAGGCAAAAATTGTCTAGCCATTCTTCTGCAATAGTCACCTATAGTTGTCCCAAAGTTGTCCCGCCAATTAGAGGGTCTAACCAGGTCTCGTCCAAAACTGGCGATGGTGGTGGTGGATGGGTGTGGTTGGAGTGCTGGAGATAGCATATTATATAGCATATTAAAACACCATATAGACATGCTAACAAGTTTAAACACTTGATTTTCACTCAAGTCGGTCTTTAAACAGTGCTTAATTGCTTAAGTGAACGAGCGGCTCCTGGACTCCACATATTCTGTTGTAGAAGTTCAACACACAGGAATGTGATGTTTGCTGAGAATTCTTTGCATTGTGAATCAGACACTGTGTGTTAAATGCTAGTGAAAGTTTGTGCCACTCAAGTGCCTCAGTCTTTTATATAAGACCCTTCAAACAGGGCACGAACATACTTAATTGTACTTAGGGTAAACTGAAATGATTAAAATTAGATACTTACATTTTCCTTTAGACCCTCTAAATCTCACCTTAAGAATGCCTGTACTTTTTAATCTGTCATTTTTTTTTTTAAAACCACCCAATGTATTTCATATCAGTGTAAAATTTAACTGCCCATGACTGTCCTCATTTTGTTTTTGTGTTATTACCTCATATTTGTCTCCACATCACATCACCAAACAAAGAAAACTAATTGCAGAATTTTTCTTGGTGTATCATGTTGAAATAATCATGGAGACCCCTGGAAAAGACTTTGTCTAAAGGCAGCATATGTTAGTCCACAGTGTGTTCAGTTTAAATGGTGCTTTCACAGATGTGCATGTTACCCACTAACACCCCCCCTAGACACATACACACTATGACAGGGACTGGATTTAGCACTTTACACTGGTAACAGTCCCTTTCTTCATTGGCCCAGAAAACATGACGTCCATTATTTCTATAAACAATCTGAACTTGTCAGACCACAGTACACGTTTCCACTGAGCATCAGTCCATTACAGATGAGCTTGAGCCCAGAGAACTCGGCGGTGTTTCTAGACGTTGTTGATATGTGACTTCAGCTGTGTTGCAGTACAGTCTTACCCTGCATTTGTGGATGCAGGAACGGACTGTGTTTATTGACAACAATTTGTTAAAGTATTCCTGAGCCCATGTTTTGATATCATCACAGAAATATGCTGGTTTATCGTGCGGTACTGTCTGAGGGGTCAAAGGTCAAGGACATTCAGATGTGGTTTTCAGCCTTTCCCCTGTTTTCCCTATTCCTACACAGAGATTTCTCCCGATTCCTTGAATTTTTCGAATCATCCTTGCTCATAAAGGACTCGGATTTTCTTGGATACTCCTTATATGCTTGTGTATGATTGCATCACCTGTCTAAGATGTTTTTTTGTAACATTTCGGAACATTCCTAGTCCTGAATAGAACCTGTTCCGACTTTTTTGGAACGTGCTACAGGCATCAATATCAGAATGAGCGTATATTTGCAAAAACTGGTTTTGTTGAAATACAGGTCAAAGTGGAATTACAAATCACTGCTTTTCACATACTGTCCCAACATATTTGATATTGAGGTTTGTAAGATTTTGACCTTGGTTATATTGCCAGCTAAACAGGACTGTGATGACAGTCCATACCAGAGGTCTTCAATTCCAGATCTTCAACCCAGTTTTTGGTCCTGGATTTTGGAGTCACTGGTAAGAGTGACACAGTAGCCAGTCAGTTCCATCAACAGGTCAGTTATCTACTAGTGAAATACAGAACCAGAAACTGGGTACAAGGTCTGGGAGACCTCTGATCTGCACTTTCACACTGATTGAGCTCCAGGCTTGTCCACATCTCCCTGCTTGTTCTTCTAGAGCCCACTGGAGGGCGCCCAGACACCACCATTCCTGGCATGCTCTCTCAGCATAGCTGATGTGATGGGGAAGTGCTTTGTTTTGCCAGCTGCCAAGACATGAAGCTCCTGCTTAAAGCTATGCGACCAAACGCCTCTAAACCTATAGTGATACCATGGTAGGTCTGAAGAACTGAGCTGAGAAGCAGCTCTTTGTCTGAGTGCACATTCATCAGCACTTTTTAACCCACAATTCCAGTGGGATCCACACAGAGGGATTGAGGGAATGCCCAGGATAAGAGACTAAACACGGTGAGGTCCTAAGAGCAGAGTTTTAATGCGCTGCCTTTACTGCTAGTGTCTTAGAAGATGCCCTGCAGGCCCATGACTCACTCTCCTCCCGCCTAGTGAACGGGAGCCAGGAAGTCGAGGATGCCATCGGCTGCCCTGAATACAAATCACATTGAACAGAGGGGCCTGTGGAACATATGGCCCATTGGAAATGTGAACGTGGGTCATGAATATTTCACATGACTGTCAGCAAAAGATTAATGGCCCTCCATAATGAAGGTATTACTTTGTATCAGTGCAACTTTATAGCATTCGGCTATAAAACTAATGTGTTGTTTGTCATGTTATTGCAGTACTTTGTTGTGCAGCATTGCTTCCCTCAGCCTCATCGGTTTGACAGAATTAATAAATTTGTTCTTGCTTTTGTCTGTCAACTTTCTCTCACTACAATCACCAACATGCATTTTGCAAATACATCAAAACAACCAATGGGAGTCCTTGTACTGTGATAAAGAAATCTTGGCTGCTAGCCACGGATGTACAGACTCATAAATGCAGACTTTAGCAGTAATGTTCACCAACTAGCAGGAAAACAGTGGGGTACGCACTTACATACGCGTCCATGAATCGTTTTATTTTGTCAATGCACATTGCATTAAATTAAAGCTAGAAAGGAAACACGAAAAACATAGTAGGTGAAATGTGGCTTAAAGTGAACACAGAGGAAGGCAGCTAATCAATAGTCTTTAAGTTAAACAGACAAATGTTACCGTCTGTTACTTGATACAGCTAACATATGCTAGCTCTAAAAACATAGTAGCCCAGTCCACTTGTTTTCCTTTGCAGCCCCACCTCCAAACCCGTAGATCACTGCAGTTCCCCTCCCAGCATGCCCCGCCCATTTTTGAGCATTTTTAATTCCGCCAGGCGAAGTTAGCTGAAAATAGTGGAGTATAGTTATTTTTTAAAAGACACCTGAAATCCTGACAGTGTAATATCTACCTGTTACCACAGACAAAACAAACAAAAAGAACAACAGTCCATCAGCTGAACTCCTGTGTTTGCTCAAATATGGGATATTCATTCAGCATTTCAGTGATCTGTGAAATCTTTTATATGATTTTGGCTGTTTACATTGTATTTCACTATTTCACACTGTTGTGATTTTCCTAACAGCCTCTTGCTTTTTGCAGTAGGTCTAATGTTTTTAGTATAAAAATGAAATGAAGCGAAGAATCTCCCTGAAAACTCAATATGCTCGAATCTCAAACGATGAAGTCTTGAGAATGCATCGCTGAATCAGACGTGTGATCTGTAACGGTAAACTGAATTTAACCTTCTTTTATACATTTTGAATGTTATTGGGCTGCGTGTCCGTTCACTTCTCTTCCTCTGATCTGCAGTTGTTGAAGTCAGTTTAAAAAATGCTCGCTAGGTGTTGTGAGGTTGTGTTTTTGATGTTTTTATGTCTTTTATGATTTTTACTGTTAAATCATAATAATCTTGGCTTTGTGCTGTTACGTCAGGTCTTGCTAGCCTCGCCTGCTGATTTGTGTCTTCAGAATTCCTGAACATAGGCAGCACAACGACACTCCAAGAGTGCATCTGACCAATATGGCTTGCAGTAAATAAATCAGTAAATTTGGAATGGGAAAGATAATCAATTCTTAGCTGCATCACAATTCTCTCTTGAAAGATTCTGAATCAATTCACAAAACATGAGAATCAGATTGTCCAGCTCGACTCAGAGGAGGAAAGAAAACACAGAATCTCACTTATGCACACGTTTACAGTTACAAATAGGTCACAGTTTTCTTGTATGTGTAAAAGGCCCGAAACTGTAGTAACCATTACCGTACACAAGAATGTTCATCATCAAATTATTAGCAGACTAATCTAGCAATAATCAGAATTAGGACGTCTGTTTTACTGTTGTAACTTGCATTGAAATAGACCTGCAGCCTTAATAAGGGTCTGTTTCACCATCTAATAGGATTAATAAGGGAGCAGAGTTTAGGTTGTGTTCAAACTCAGCTGTGCCAGTTAATGACAAAAGCAGGAAAAGAATTCATAACATAAGTTGAAGAAGTCAAAAATCCAGATGCATTGAGAATTATTTTATAATGGCGTCTTGGCATGCTAAATTAAAATTGAATTGAGGTGACTACACATTCCCACCCTACAATGAATCAAAGGCATTTTTAAAGTAAGGGCTGTTACCACGGTAACTGTTAACCATCATCGGGCACAGGACTAATCTGACACTAATGGAAAATGGCTCTTTGACCCAGTTTCGGGCCACCTAACTCTCTGCAGTAACAAAACTATATGACTAACTGAAGCTTTAAAAAAACAAACTAAATTATCATGCGTATAAATATCATCACGTCCTCCATGCAAAAAGTTCAACTATTATTAGACTCGTCCTGCTCTCGCTGGATGTGGGTAGAGCTTAATGACTGCTGGCCCTGATCACATTCGCTGTCATGAAGCGTTTGAAGTGCAAATGTCCTTTATTTGTGTTGGGGGTAAATAAAAACTGGCTGGTGGTCCTGCAGCTGTGGCTGTTGTGCAGTTGAAGACTTTAGGTTCCTCCACTGTGGCAGAGAGAGCCGAGCACCAACAAGCACTCCTGCATGTTAATATCATCCCACAATGCAACACTTAACTCCGTAAACAGCGACCTCAATTATTTATTCTCTTCGTACATCACGCCATCGAAGCCTGACAGCCAGCAGGGAGAGAGAGAAAAAGAGAGAGAAAGAGAGAGGGAGGAATGCGCAGTGCTTGTGCTTTATTAGATAGAGAAAACCAAACAGAAGAAATAGAGTCATGCATCATGGTGTCAGCCTACACAGGGTGGCAGCTGATTAGAAGAGGAAAAGGAGGATCAGAAAGCGTGAGGTAGAGAGGGCCGGGGGGAGACTCCGAGCACTGCAAGAAACACAAGAGGGAAAACACCGAAAAGAACAGCAACCTCAGAAAAATTCAATCAGTAACAAAGCACACGGAAAACGAAAGAAAGAAATAAACAATCGCTATTCCAGCGCTTTCAAGATATTGTACTCTATTCAAGTCGAAGTAGAGCTGAACTTAAGTGGAGCTTTGGTTGCAAACCTGCCTCGAAAGAAAATCCCAGGGGAAATGCGTGTCAGCGGGATATTAACGTTACCGTTGCATTATTGTCGCAATGGCCATTCCTTCATCCTTTATCAGATCAAGTCAAAAGTCCATACGTTCTCACTTTGAGGCTTTTCCTCTTTCAAATATCTGGAATTTTCACATCTGAAAGGTTCATGAAGTGGTCAGCATTTCTTCACAGACCTTCCAAACCACCTCAGCTTATAATTGTGTGACACATTCACTGATATATCATACTTAACAATAAATACAGCTATGCATAAAATATAAGTTCAATTTCACCGTCAAAAGTTTTTCTTTTTACAACTAGCATACGTTTTTCAACCCTCTCTGCAATCAGGTAATCTCAGGTTGGCCAAGATTTGACATAGCATTTCCTCACTCCACTCACACTTTATATCAAATCACATTTTTCTCAAAAACGCATGAAGTAAACAGAGCCTGCAGCTTTCATCAACCACACGGACCGGGACCAGTACCACGCTCTTTCAGACAAGCTGTACAAACACTGTGGATTTCATATGAACCACAGAACGCCATGTCCACTCCGTAGAAAACATGGACCACTACCAAAGTAGAGAATAGAGAGAAAACTTATAAACGGAAACTGTTTCGACCAAATATCCCCAAATATGTTTGGCTTGATTGGTATAACATTCAGTTCCTGCTGGAAAGGGAACGGGACCTTTTGTCTTCAGTTTAGCAGGGTACCATAGAGCTGAGCCTTGGTGAGACTGTCCTTCCGTGACAGACCCAGGGTGCCAAATTTTTGGTATTGCGGCGGAGGCTGGGGTGGAGGAGGGCTGGTTCCCTGAGGGGAGGCACTGTGCCGATCAGGCTGGTAGTGCTGCAGATCTGCAGGCATCTCCAGAGATGCATGGTGGAGCGATTCATTGGAGCTGTTGGGACTCACTTCCACGTACTCGCTCTTCTGCTCCTTGGAGCTGTAGATGCTGTGCTCCGATTCCTGGCTGTCATCCTTGGCCCGGTACAGGTGAGTCTGGTGGATCCCGGGGCTGCACTCTGGGCTCGGGCTGGAGAAGGGGTCCAGAACCCCGCTGTGATGGTGATACACATCAGTACCTTCCTGGAAGCTGCTGTAGAGTGGTCCGAGCCGGATCTTTGCAGGCCGGACGGAGAAGTGCTGCTCAGAGAAGCTGTAAGGAGAGGCTCGCCCAGGACTGCGATACGAATGAGCACTAACATCCTCAACGCTAAGCTGCCTCCAGCGGCCAACAATAAGCTCCTCTTCCTCCATTTCCTCCTCCGGAGCTAACAGAGCGCTGCCACGGCGACTGTCACCATAGGTGACACTTGGAGAGGTGGATGGTGGAAGGGGTTCATAAGGCTCGCTGTAGCAGGAGGACATGGTCCTGCTGTAGATGGGGGAGCTGCCGTTCTGGTGGTGGCTGGGTTCGGCCGCCTGGAAACCGTGGGCTTTGCTGCTGAAGGCGCTAGGACTGTCTCTCTCCCAAGAAGAATCGCTTTTGTGCTCATATTCGGTGACGCCGTCTCTCCAGTCCATATAGACATGGGCGTGGTGTCGGGGAGAGGAACCTGCACTGCTTGGAGGATCTGCCCCTTTATCCTCAGACCCGCCTCCACTGAAGCTGGAGTAGGAGCTAGACGCTCCACCCAGAGATGTGGCAAACTTGCTGAAGCGCTCTTGAGAGAAGCCCTGCTGCAGAGAGAGTGAGCCTTCTCCTTCCTCTGGGGTGCTGTCAGTGGAGTTCTGGGGACCATAAAGCTTCTGCTGGCCATGGAGGTCCATGCTGGGCCTTCGCTCCCGCCTTCGCTCGTCTGGGCAATACAAGGCCGTGTCGCTGCTGTACAGATCAGACTTATAAATGGCACGGAGGCCCAGGCGTTCACTGCTGCCGAGGCCCGTGCCCACAAGGAAGCCCTGGGGCTGGTGGCGCTGTGGGCTGGGAGAGCGCGAGGCCTGGATGCTTCCTGCCTCTGCTTCTTCAGGCTTTTCCAACACCTGGGCAATCATGGAGGTGGGCACAGTGTCGGAGTACGGAGAGTGGCATAGAGATGAACTCTCCATGTGTAGGCTCAGACGCTCCTGAAACTCTGCAGGCAGCTATGGGACAGAACAAAAGAGAGACGCAAGGGCTTTGAAATGAAATGAGCAGGCCAAATGAAATTGAAATAACAGTAAGTGTCAGATACCCTGCACATAGTGTCTCCAACGCTTGTCCTAGAGTATCCCTCTAACACATTCCTTCAACTCAGAAAGGGTTTGTTAATTAGAAAGTTAGATGGATCAGTTGTGCAAAACACTAAGAAGAGCAGGGCAGGGGTACTCTACGACCAGCATTAGATAACCTATTCCACCGACAAGGTGTTCCTGGGACCCATTAAAACTTTAAGAACTGACCTGTCCATAAACACTTTTAGACATTTTTTCCCTCTTCAGTTCGTTCTCATGAACCTAGCTTTAAGCATTGCCATTTGTGTTTCCATATATACTTTATTCACAGGGAAATGCTGCACAAGATATTACTGCAAGTCGTGTAAGACTGCGCTGCAGTAGCCATGTAAGCTGTAGGTTAATTTGAGGAGCTTGCAAAATGAGAAATTACAGAGCTCTGTTTCAGTGCAACAACAACAAACCTACATGGAATAAAGCCTCTAGTAGTAACTACTAACAAAATACCTTTCATTGGCTCAAAAATGAATAGTCCTGAAACCCCTGGCGTTGACAAACAATACAACACACCCTCTTGCATCATTGATTCCATGATTCTAGCTCTGACTGCAAGAACCAGTGTTTTAGTGGTGGATACACATTAAATACTATGAGATTAGGCACCAGTTCTAGCCAGAGGCCTGGCAGCTTATTGTTGGAGAAGGGATACACAGAAGTTGAGGTGAGGAAGCGCAAAAATCAACTGCTATTTTCCATGTTTTTGGGAGACAGTGTGCAGGAAAGAGACTTGTGTTCTGTAATTATGATTAATGCCTGCACTTACAAAGTGCATGAAACAGATAATCTGTCACGTTTCAAAGTTTACCTACAGATCTACTGAAATTCATGAAGTGTTTGGTAATTAGCCGAGCGGAATCAGGTGCATCAATTGAGGAAAACACAGAACGCTGTGCGCGTTACAGTAAATGTTGCGTCAGTGTTGCTTGGTATGCATTTAGAGCTGTAGAACTAAATTAAACCAAACGAACAAGAATAAACCCAAGTAAATGACAAACAGTGGCCACTGATGAGGCATCTATCTATTGCTGTTATACTCTAATTTTCAGTTCTTTCTCCATAGCAACTGGAGAAATGTAAAGAGAGTCTAATTAGCTAGCAGAGCATACCAGACTAATTATAGTGCATGATAATAAGCACTGAGTCTAAGGCTAAGTCCTTGTTTTCCAGCAGCAGAAGAGCAAAAACGGGTCACAGACAAATCCCACATTACCCTCCCAGATTACCTCCCTGCTGAGGGTCCGAAGGGAGCTCATGTCCTACCGACGCTTTCAGAAAATGAGTTTCTGTTTATTTCTCGGCTTCAGATCAGGTGCTCTTTATTGCAGCTGCGTAAAACCTCCTGCTCACACATCATCCACAGAAGGAGTAGAAATGAATTTACTGCTGATCGCTTTCAATCTCTGCCCAAGTCTCTTCGAGGATGCATACAGTAACAGAATCACTGACATTTTCATTTATTCTCAGCACGAACACAGAGCAGTGTATATGTTAAATGAAGTTTAAAATGTAATCAGTGTCTTTTCATCAAGGAGAATCAACCTCATAATTACATGCATACACAAGCAACTGGCCAGGTTTCCATACTCATGCTGATCCCTGTGATTCCTTTGAAGGGGATATATTATGCTCATTTTCAGTGTTCATAATTTTATTTTTGGGGTCTGTTAGAATAGACTTACATGCTTCAGTGTTCCAAAAGGAGAAATATGTAGTGAGTATGAGGTGTATCTAATCTCAGAGAGCTGTGTTCTGTAGTTTTGTGGTTTATCTGATCTCAGAAAGCTGCTCTGTAGTGAGTTTTGTATGTATCTGATCTCAGAGGGCTGTGATCTGTAGATTTGTGCTGTATCTGATCTCAGAGAGCTGTGCTCTATAGTGAGTTTTGCACTGTCTGATGTCAGAGAGCTGTGCTCCAGAGTGAGTTTTACACTGTGTCTGATCTCAGAGAGTTGTGCTCTGTAGTGAGTTTTATGGTGTATCTGATCTCAGAAAACTGTGCTCCATAGTGAGTTTTGTGATGTTTCTAATTTCAGAGAAATGTGCTCTGTAGAGATATTGTGGTGTGTCTGACCTCAGAGAGCTGTGCTCTGTAGTGAGTTGTGTACTACATCTGATCTCAGAGAGCTGTGCTCTGTAGTGAGTTGTGTACTACATCTGATCTCAGAGAGCTGTGCTCTGTAGTTTTGTGGTGTGTCTGACCTCAGAGAGCTGTGCTCTGTAGTGAGTTTTGTGGTGTATCTGATCTCAAAAAGCTGTGCTCTGTAGTTTTGTGGTGTGTCTGACCTCTGAGAGCTGTGCTCTGTAGTGAGTTTTGTTGCACTGTAGGAGCTGAGCGGCTAGGTTGCAGTCCTTCCTGTACAGGTCCTGCAGAGAGACAGTGGTCAGAATGTCAAAACAACCACAATCAATGTTTCCCCAATGAGAGCTTGAAACATCTGTGGGACCCAACTGCTCACGTCAGGTTCAGATGTCATTTCTCAAATATGTGGTATTCTGAAGTTCCACATTTGTGTTCTCACAGCACACCTCCCACTTTTAACAGACGTTTACCTTGCATTTTCACTTTTGCTTTTCATTTTAGTTTACAGTACTAATGTGAAGACTACCAGAATGTAACAGCCAACCATAACAGATCAACTTTATTATCTTTGTAGTGATTAAACATGACTGTCTATCAGCTGTCTCATGGCAGCAGTAACTTGGAGCTGGCAGTAATCTGCTGTATTTTTCACTCTTTACTGTGTTCATGTCAGCGCTATGTTATTTGCCTCAACCTACAGCAGCACAGATTCAGTGATTTCCTCCTGAACACACCTGATCAGCTCATGAAGGGCTCCGTAATCAGTTGATAAGCTGGATCAGGTGATTTAAGGCAAGAAACAGTTGAAACCGTGTGGATCTGTCGCCAGAGCAGAGTTATACACAGACTTAAACTGCTGCAAAACTCATGTAGTTAGCATTTTAGAGGGCACTGCTAGGCTAGTTAGCTATTTAGAAGACACTGCTAGGCTAGTTAGTCCTTTAGCTGACACTGCTAGGCTAGTTAGCCCTTTAGCTGATACTGCTGGGCTAGTTAGCCCTTTAGCTGATACTGCTAGGCTGGGTAGCCATTTAGCAGACACTGCTAGGCTGGTTAGCCATTTAGCAGACACTGCTGTGCTAGTTAGCCCTTTAGTAGACACTGCTAGGCTAATTGGCCCTTTAGAGAGCACTGCTAGGCTAGTTAGCCCTTTAGCTAACACTGCCAGGTTAGTTAGCCCTTTAGCAGACTCTCTATATGACCCTCATTATTTGTGTTTGTAAAATACTTTGCACATTTTGACATTTTACATTTTGCATTCGGATTTTATTATTTTATTTAAAGCTTTCAGCACAAAATTAACTCCATGTCATCCCCTCATGGTGTTGGCAGTCCAGGAGACCCACCCACAATTTTGGAAAAGGACAGTGTTAGTGCAGCCAAGAGGACGTTTATATTTAATTTGCTTGGCCAAAAATATTTTGTACATGTTTAATGTATTATCTGTAAAATGTTTAACCAAAGAAAGAGTTTTAGGATTAAACTAACATCTCAGGACACCACAGCAGGAAAACAGAATGGAAAGTTATCCGGACTAAAAGATTTGGAATGCTGTTAGAAAGCACTGATTAATGAATTTGCTAAAGTGAGATTCAAACTACAATTTGGACAGTGTCTTTTGGTCTTTCATTATTTCATATTAATTTCTGTTTCATTTACCTATTATCTAATGACATTCATTAGTGCAGATGGACTGTGTTTGCAGAGTGAAACGCTTTACTGGGATGTTAGAGTTACTCAGATTCAGATTGTGACAGTTTTACTCCCTACAGGAAAAACTGACTGTACAGTAAGACACTTCACCTAGAGTGTCACTTTAAACCGTTTTTGAACATCATCTTACGCTTTGGAGTGCTGTGTTTGAAAGTTTCAAGGGTTCTTTAGTAAAGAGAATGGTTCTATATAGAACCATGAACTCTCAAAGAACCACTTACATGCTTAAATTGTTCTTTGCATGATGATATCGTTCTTCAGATTGATGAAGAATGTGTTGTAAATGATTCTATATAGAATCTTTTTGAAAATGTTTCTATACTGCACTAAAAAGTATTCTGTTGTTGTTATGATCTCAAGCTTGTAACAATAGCAGACCCCTTTTCGATGCTATATGGAACCACAACACATTCTCCATCTATCTGAAGAATAATTTCACCATGCAAATGGTATAAATTATAAAACCTTATAAAATCTGGAGCAGTGGAAATGTATTCTGTGAAGTGACTGCATTGTGCCAACTGTAAAGTTTGGTGGAGGAGGGATAATGCTATGGGTTGTTTTTCAGGGGTTGGCCTAGGACCCTTAGTTCCAGTGAAGAGAAATCTTAATGTTTCAGCAGACCAAGACATTTTGGACAACTGTGCTTCCAACTTTGTGTGAACAGTTTGGGGAAGGCCCTATTCTGTTACAGCATGGCTGCACCCCAGCGCTCAAAGCAAGGTCCATAAAGGCGTGGCTGGGTGAGTTTGATGTGGAAGAACTTGACTGACCCTTACAGAGCCCTGCCCTCAACCCCATCGAACACCTTTGGAATGAACTAGAATGGAGATCCAACATCAGTGTCTGACCTCACAAATGCTCTTTTGTATGAATGGGCAAAAATCCCCACAGACACTCCAAAATCTTGTAGAAAGCTTAACAGAACAGAGGAAGCTGTTATAACTGCAAAGGGGGACCAACTCCATATTAATACCTATGGATTTAGAATGGGATTCATAAAGTTCCTGTAGGTGTAATGTATTGGTGTCCCAATACTTTTGTCCATATAGTGCATGTACTTTGAGGGTCTTAGTTGTAACAGTGTGTTCATATCATTCATTCCCCAATTTAGACAGTCCATACATGGAAACTAGACTGTAAAAAGAGCTTTTAAATTAAGTATGGTTGTGATGTCATTAAAATTGCAGTAAACAAAACTAAGGGATAAAGAGAGGCTGAAAAACGGTTATGTAAAAATTAACTCTGGGTGTTTTTGGTACATAAAACTACTCAGACTTCACAAGTGGATCTCAGGAGGAAAATATATTACCAGTGAAATGTAGAATATGAGCTCTTTAATATCTGTGTGTTTGTGCAAGGCAGCTCTTACATTGTCCTCCCTCAGCTTCTCAATGGTCATCTTGGCCTCCATGAGGTGGTTGTTGAGGACGATAATTTCCCGACTCAGCGCTCTCTTCTCATCATCATGGTGCTGTGACTGGGAAGAGAGAGAGAGCGAGTGTATTAAAACAGTGAAGAGGAAAATCAGTTTCAGAACTGTTTACTCCAAATATTAATATCATTAATGATGGTGGAAGTAATGAATTCTGCCCACAGTGGATTCAGAGCAGTTATGGAGTACAGAGAGAGTCTCCTCACAGCCTGAAGTGGATAATTAGCTGAGAGAATTTGGACAAATCTCCGATAATTACATGTGAGGAGATTTACTTTTGTAAGACATGTTTAAGAATCCAAATTAAAGATGTAATACAGAACATCTGTATCTGTTTAATGCTCAAAACATCTGTATCAGCATCAGGTTTGGGCAATAAGTGGGCGTGGTATAAAAATAGTGGGCGTGGTGTAAACTACACCCTTAAAAAAGAAGGTTCCTCAAGGGTTCTTTAATAAAGAAAATGGTTCTATATAGAACCATGAGCACTTAAAGAACCCATTGCGTGATTAAAGGGTTGTTTGCTTTGTGAAAGTATTTTTCAGAACGTGCTGTAGACGGTTCTATATAGAACCTTTTTGAAAAGGGTTCAAAAGAGCACCCAAAAGCGTTCTTTCATCAAGCTTGTAACAATAGAAGAATGCTTTTGGGTGCTTTTCAAAAAGGTCTTATATAGAACTACAGTTCATTACAGCACATTCTCCAACAATCACCCTTTCACAATGCAAACAACACTTTAATCATGCAAATGGTTCTTTGAGTGTTCATGGTTCTATATAGAACCATTTTCTTTACTGAAGAACCCTTAAAGAACCATCTTTTTTAAGTGTGTGGAAGCATGTATGGTGTCAGTGTGGTGTAAACCAATCTAATAGTGAGGGTGATTTAAACTAGAAGTAGGTGTGGTGTAAACTAGAAGTGGGTGTGGTGTAAACTACAAGTGGGCATTATGTACACCAGAAGAGGTCGTGGTGTACACCAGGATTATTTAATCAGGAGAGTCAGGAGATTTCTTGGTGGGCTGGTCGCAGTTAAGTGCCACAGTTATATGATTAGGATAATAAATAAGAGTAAGAAATGAAGAAAATGAAAATGCACAGATTTATAAATACAGATAGAGTTTAAGGTGGGCTGGTCTGCGTCCTGTAACTCCCAGTCTGTAGTCCCACACTGGCCTTAGTGTGGCGTAAACCTGAGAGGGCATGGCATAAACCAGAGTGGGCATGGCATAAGTCAGAATGGGTGTAGCATAAACCAGAGTTGGTGTTGCAAAAACAGAGTGGATGTGGTGTAAAGGTAGAGTGGATGTGGCGTAAAAGCAGAGTGGGTGTGACGTAAAACCAGAGTGGGTGTAGTATAAAACAGAGTGGGTGTGGCATAAACCAAAATGGGTGTGGCAAAAACCAGAGTGGGTGTTGCAAAAACAGAGTGGATGTGGCGTAAAAGCAGAGTGGGTGTGATGTAAAAACAGAGTGGATGTGGCGTAAAAGCAGAGTGGGTGTGGCGTAAAAGCAGAGTGGGTGTGACGTAAGCCAGAGTGGGCGTGACATAAAACAGAGTGGGCGTGGATTAAGCCAGAATGGGTGTGGCATAAACCGAGTGGGCGTGACACCTCTGGGTGTGGCACAAACCACAGTGGATGTGGCAAAAAAGAGTGGGTGTGATGTAAAGCAGAGTGGGCATGGCGTAGACCGGATGTGGGTGTGGCCCACACAAAGTGTTTTTTGTTAAAATACATTATCAACGGTTGTAATTGAAACATCATTATTGCTGTTTATGAATCTGAAAATGTAACAGCATTTCAGTTTGATGTGCGCAGCAACTGCATTGTGCAGATCAAAACTTTCCGAAAGTCCTGCACAGTAAAAAAAACAAACAATACGCCACCTGTTTAGATCGAAATACCGGCTCATTCTGAATAATGTATTCATATTCATTTACATTTGTAAACCAAATACCTAAACAGCGCTGTATGAGAGTGCAGAGCTGAAATACAGCTTAAACAGACTGAGAGGAAACCTGAGATTGTCTCTAATAAAGACATGCGGCAGTCACACAATGCTCGGTGGCAGGTTGGCTAATTACACCCCACTGTTTGAGTCCTGCAGGAGACGAGGAGTCCTGAGAGCTGCTGCTACAATACGCTCACTATCAGTCTGCCAGGCGAGGGCGGACAGGCTACCGTAAAAGACTATAATTAACAGCAGCAGCACAGATAGCAGAGTATTGATATTCAAATTCCCTCAAACACAGTTCAATACTGTGACTGCACATGCTCAGAACCTCCGCTTATACATCAGACACAATAACAACATGAAAAACACAGAACGCTGCTGGTGGGTCATAAATACAATTGTAATGCAGGGCTACTACACCTGTGGTTGACAATTACAGTTCAGTTGGTGCAAAAGTGCATTCACAGCTTGAGTTTACTTTTCTTCTTAACACATTTTCCAAAATTCCTGTATAATTAAACGGTTTGGTGTGAAACGGTCTGTACTTGAGAACCTTACCGAGTCAGAATTGTTCACAGTGGTGGTGATAGGAACGAGACGTCCAAAAAGCTCCCTCACATAAAGTTATTACATGAAATGGTTATGAATTCACTGACTGATGTCTGAGACACTGTTTTACGATAGTTTTGAGAATTTAAAATCCATTCATGGTGGAGGGATACATAATATGCAGGGTGCTGTGAGGCAAAATAGTCCCCAAAGAAAATGTATTTTTTCAGATTTTCCACTATTTTCCATCATCAAGATTCCATATAAACTCAGAAGACTCGTGTAGGTTCAATGGTGGTTTTGGATAGTAAATAAAATGTCTATATTTGTGTTGTAGTCATGGCGACCCATGGTTCCTATCACCACCACTGTAAAGACATCTGAACCATTTCACACCAAACCACTCTGAATCACTCTGTTTACATCTCACACACTGTTATGAAGGAATTTTGAGACACTGATGGATATGTATATGTATTATAGTGAATATTTTCTCAGAAAACAAGATCAAAATCATTCTAAACTGGACTGTGTTGTTTCCTTCGGATAAGTGTTGTATATTCACAGTTTCTATGATGCTTAAACACCCAGCAAAGATTTATTGAAAAAACAAAACAACAAAGAAATATATTAAAACACGGCTTAAAAACTGCTGATCAGACCAGAAACCTCCGTGGGTGTTGTGTAATATTCTAATGAGCACCCTTTGCTTTACTGCTGGATCTTTTATATGGAGAACATTTAAGAAGGTTTCTATGCACTTTACACGCAGAACCTTAAAGAACATTTTAGGGCCACTGTTAATAAAAATAAAAATAGTAGACTTTGAGAATAAAGTCGTAATATTTCGAGAAAAAAGTCGTAATATTTCGAGAAAAAGTCGTAATATTTTGAGAAAAAAAGTCATAATATTTCAAGACTTCTTTCTCGAACTATTACAACTTTATTCTCGAAATATTACGACTTCTTTCTCGAACTATTACAACTTTATTCTCGAAATATTAAGACTTTATTCTCGAAGTCTACTATTTTAATTTTTATTAACAGTGGCCCTAAAATGCTGTTGTACGTTCTTATTCACTTTACTGCTAGATCTTTTTATGGAGAACCTTAAAGAAGGTTTTTATTCACTTGGATCTGCTGGATCTGCATCTTTCTCTTAGTGGTCAGCTTTTAGCTTTTGCTTGGTGGTTAACTTTTTCTTATGGTGGTTAGCTTTCTCTTAGTGGTTAGCTTTTGCTTAGTGGTTAGCTTTTGCTTAGTGGTTAGCTTTTGCTTAGTGGTTAGCTTTCTCTTGGTGGTTAGCTTTTGCTTAGTGGTGAGCTTTTGCTTGGTGGTTAACTTATGGTGGTTAGCTTTCTCTTGGTGGTCAGTTTTTGCTTGGTGGTTAACTTATGGTGGTTGGCTTTCTCATGGTGGTTAGCTTTCTCTTGGTGGTTAACTTTCTCTTGGTGGTTAACTTTCTCTTGGTGGTTAGCTGGTGGTTAACTTTCTTATGGTGGTTAGCTTTCTCTTGGTGGTGAACTTTCTCTTGTTGGTTAGCTTTCTCTTGGTGGTTACCTTCCTTTTTAGCTATCAGCACCCAGCACTCCCGGCCTAATGATCACTGGCCCCACTGTTTGCATACCTGCACCCCGTTATTAATATCAACTCGATATTTAACCCTTCTTTTCACTTTTTAGAGATGGATTTCACTGTTAATGGGTCGTATTGATCCATACTGTCTGCTTTACCAAGACAATTATTGATTACACCTTTTGATTAGTATTTATTTTGTCCCTGTTTGTTGTTTGTGTAACTTCTTTGCTGATTCTGTCTGTTTTTCACCTCTCGGACTGCGGACTGTTCATTTTTACTTTCACATCCAGCCATGCTCGGTTTCGGTGTTACACTGGGAATAAAATCTCACACGTTTACGTACATTAAAGTTATGAGTGAGTTTCCGTCTCCTGTGTGAGAGACGTGAGGTTTGGTTCTGACAGTGATGAGATGAGAGCTGTGTGATGTCTGTTGAACATGCTGACTCACATTTCTGTGGATTTTGTCCTCCAGGTCCTGATTGATTCTCTGCAGTGCTGAGTAACTGCTCTGGATTCTGAAACACAAAAACAAAACAGGTTTCTGTCACACACACACGAGACAGCTTATTCAGTCTGATATTTAAAGCTTAAACCATATAAAACACCACGGTACTGATCTACTGAAGGTAGAGGCCTTCAGCTCACTCTGAAACTCAACCTGAAACATAAACTGATCATTGATATCTTTTTAGTTTGTGTTCCCGTGTACATATTAATCCAGCCATAAGAATCCATTCTATTATTTAAAAGACTAGGGGACAGATTTACTGAAAGGGCCATTACCAACAGTTGCACTGGCGGGAGTGGCCACACTCTTAAAAAAGATGGTTCTTCAGGAGTTCTTCTATATCATTCTATATAGAACCATGAACACCCAGAGAGCCCTTTGCATGATTAAAGGGCTCTTTGCATCATGAAAGTGTTCCTCAGACTGAAGGAGAACGTGCTGTATATAGTTCTAAATAAAACTTTTTTGAAAGGGGTTCCATATAGCACCCAAAAGTGTTCTGCTATTGTTACAATCTATTGTTACAAAGTTCTCTAATCGTCTCTAAAGGTGTCCTACAGCAAAGACTTGGTCTCTAATAGTGACCATTAAGCTAAATCCTATTAGGAAGCAAAACTAAATTTTAGGTTTTAATCCTAATGGTTCTAATTGTATTTTTTCAGCAGGGTCTGTAGCCTGCTCACTAAGCTAACAAGCAGTGCTGCTAACTAGGAGAGAGGAGCTGGAACAGATCCAAACGGCTCGGAACAGGGTTCATTTAAGCGTTGAGACATCATCATCTAAACCTGAGTCAATATATCTTCTGTTAGCCATAATTGAACTTGTTCTGTGGTGAGCAGAGCTGTTAGCATGCTAAGCTAATGCTAACTAGCTCCATGTTCCTAGTTAGCAGCAGCTTTTAACGTTTAACAACTGTTGGTAGATTAATGGTTGGTCGTTTATGCTATCATTTATTTGTTGACCGTTTACACAAACTGAACTTATTTATTTTGGGTTTGGAGTAACACAGGATGAACAAACATGGAACCAATCAGCAAAAAAGCTATGTCATTAAGCCACGGAGAACGGTTCTGTGGTCCTGAGTCAGGACAGGCTCCAGAATTTTTACTGATGCAAAATTTGCTCTCCCCCTGTTTATTTTGCCTGTATCAATCAGTTATGACACTAATTATTTACAAATGTACGCTTGTATACCAAAGCTGCTAGATTCTTTGAGCTCTTCCCCCACCTCAGAGCCCCTGAGCAGTCAGTTCCCCTCTCTCTCCCTCCCGCTGTGAAGCCCCCAGCTGTGTCTGTTATTGTTCCTGATGGTCGTACCTCCTCAGTTTATCAGTGAATTTGTCAAGCTCCTCCTGAGCACGGCGCAGTTCGGTCTCCAGGTACTGCCGCGTGGAGTCAAACTCACTCTCCAGCAGCTCCAGCTTATGGGTGGTGTAAGATAAACGCTTCCGCAGGTCCTCCTTCTGCTCCTGCAGAGAGCTACACACAAACAGGACACAACACAGTGCAGATTTACTGACAGGTTGCTAAGACACATCATGAGCTGCTTGAATGCAGCTACACTGGAACGAACGCAGAGAATTTAACTAATTCAAATGTGTACAACAGGGGTGCCAAAACTTTGTTTTGGGGAACCAAAGTGCAATGTTTGTGGTTGGCCGAGGGCCCAAAAGACAGATTTTGTTATTTTTTGGTGTCAAAAGACGTAAACGCAAACTCAGCAGCAAACTGTTTACAAGCATTTTCTGCAAATGTAAATGCAGTTACTTTAAATTTGATTAATTTAAAAAGTAGAAAAAAATAAAGACTTCTAGTTCTGCTATATTATTGGGCTGTTTTGCACAGCATGTTTACGTTCTACTCACAAATCTTTGATGGTTTTAGGTTAAGGGGCTGTGAGTGCCTTTCCAACAGATTCCGCTTGTGTTTCTTGAAATAGTTGATGGTGAATTTTAATGTCTGTTGTGGATCCTTTGCCTGCTGTAAAAGCCTTTTTTCAGCTTCAGCTTCTTCACTGTCTGTGTCACATTTGCTTCCAGGATTTACTGATATTTAGAATCCATTCTTCCATGTACCCGTGCAATGGCGTCATGTTTCTTGTGCCATTGGCTGCCACACAATATCCATGTTTTACTGTTTATTTGTGGAAAAACGTTTTTTTTACTCTGAAAGGACAAATACTTGATGACATCACATGACTAAGAAATCCTGTTTGCACTTTTTTTCCAAGGACACTTGATACCGGGAAGGTCTTGATCTGAGGGCTCCCAAAATCGACTGATTATTCAGAATTTATGCAAAATTCCTCCAAGAAAAAAAAGGAATACTTTTTGGGGTACATTAACTTTTAATTTTTTATCATTAAAACCAGTTTAGGTGTGATAAGTTTTTTGTAAAATGGTGAAATTAATTTGCATCCTATATGCAAATATGAACGTGAACAGTGTGCATTCAAACTATTGGACTGTAATTGAGCTATATAGTGCTAGGCTATTCTGAGACTATGTTTACAACTTTTATATTTAAAGGTAAAAACATAATTTTTGTTTATGTATTGTAATTTCAGACATTTTGTAACTGTACAGTTTTATCTGGGTTATAAATTACATCGCTGTTTTTACAGAAAAAATTGCGATACCCCACCCAAATTATGCTGGTTCACTTTTGTGTACATTTTTAGTCAATAAAAACATGCTGATTTAATCATTCTCATTCAATTATATAGGAAATAAAATTGTTTTTTAACAAGAAAATGATGCCCCCATGTCTTATTACACATGTATATATAAGCGTTTGTTTTTTATGACCATACGATCCACATAATTGAAATTCTATTAATTAATCTGGGTAAATATTGAGTTATACATTTCAGTACGTATAACTTTTTTTTTGTTTAGTTTTAATTTCAATAAAAGGATGTTTTAAGAGAAAATGGTACTTTCTATGATTGCACTTGGTTGCCCTATGGCAACAATTTATCAACCACCCCCTTTGAAAAATTATTATTTTTTAAATATTTTCATTATTTAAGCAATTTTAAAGACCAAAAACACATTAAAACATTTTTATCATGTTTAAGTAATAATTCATGCAACAGAGATTATACGTAATTGCTATCACACAAAATACTAGTTGAGTGACTAATTTGATTGTTTATCAGTTTAATAAAACAGAACAAAACATATAAAAATAAAAAAAAACTATTATAATAAAAACATAAGACATTAAATACGTCCTGCAGTGTGAAACAGAACAGACAACCGAAAGTTTACTGAAACCCCACCAAAAGCTGAAACTGACCCAGAATGTGTCCAAATGAAAACATCTGAAGCACAACTTACTTATTAAAATAATCTCTACATCTGATAAATCTTATATAAACTCATATCATTGATGAACACTTCTATTGATCTTGTAAAAACAATATTTGTCCAGACCAGCTGCTCTCTTCTGCTGCTTCTCTTCCTGTACACACCTGTGAGTCCTTGAGTTGCCAGCTATTCAACACCAGGATCAGAACACACACATAAGATGATTCGCTTTAATTTTCAAACCTTTTTCTGCGGCCGAAGTACTCAAAACAAAACCTCATGACTATGGAATTTCCACCCGCACTGCATTGTCAAACTAGCTGGATTTTTTAGGAAAGTCGCGAATCTGGCAACCCTGCTTGACAGGGTTAAAATAAATAAATTAAAGATGTGCATGTGGGAAATGGCACAATGCTTTAGGTTGCCATAGCAACCCTGCAGCTTAAAATCCCCACTGAAATGCAGTTTCACTGTAGCAGCTGTTTCCAGAGTGTTCTGTGCAGTTTCACTACCGTCACTTTTCTTCAGCTTTGCAGCTTTCTTTACATCTGTGCTTGACAGTTGGCACGGTGTTCCTTTCATCAAATGCTGCACTTTTTCTTCTCCAAACATTCCTTTGGTGTTTCATTTTTACTTCATCAGTCCACAGCACTTGTTTTCAAAATGCAGACTTAAGACACTGACTTTTGTGATGAGGTCACAGTAAAGTTTCCTTCTGATGACTCTTCCATGAAGATCATGTTTGTAGAATGGTGCTCCACCAGTACTGTGTCAGCTAAACCTTCCTTGCTGTCATATGGGGGTTTTGCTTTGCACTTCTGAACCAGCATACACGCAGTTCAGTCTGGGAGTTCCAGATCTTGCCTTGACTTCCACAGTTCCCCTTAAGTGCCATTCCCTAACAACATGAGACATTGGAAACTGTGAGCTGATATTTTTTTAAATCCTTCTCCCGCTTAGTAGGCATCAGTCTGCTTCATTTTCAGATCCTCAGCCAGCTGCTTAGAGGAGCCGATGGCTGTTGAGTGTCAGAGAATTTATTATGCTGGCAATTATCATTTACAATTCATAATGATAATTCTGGACCCTCCTAACCTAGTCGAGTTAACGAGTTACATTCTGAGATGTTACAACTGGAAGGGTTTTGAAACTTTTGCACATGGCACAGTTTTTAAATTAATAAAATATAAAGTAACTGTGCATTAACATTTTAAAAATGTTAGTTTGCTGCTGTGGTCGTGTTTAGTTTGGCTAGGGGTGCCAAAAATTTTGCATGCAATTGTATACAAATAAAGAAGGTAGATAAGCTTCAAATCAAGTCTTTAAATGTTTATTAAGTACTTTATTTATAAAGTCCCTTAATCATGTAATTTTTAATAGAAAATAAAAAAATTTTACTTATATGCAGCACCCTCCACAAATATTGGCAACACAGGTAAACATGAGTAAAACAGGTTGTAAAAAACATTCTTCTCTGCTGATCCTTTTGATCTTTCATCCAAAATATTAACAAAACTCTTTATTTGAAGTACAGTGATTAAAAATAAATAAATCCTATCAGGAAATAAATATTTTTCTCAAATCTGTCTCACAGTTGTTGGCACCCCTTTGTTTAAACCTTATTGTAGCCTCCCTTTTCAAAGATAACAGCTCTGTGTCTCTCATGCAACGTTTATTGAGACTGGAGAACACATGGCAAACGACCTGAGACCATTTCTCCATACAGAACCTCTCCAGATCCTTCAGATTCTGAGCTCCACACTGTAGACTCTCCTCTTCAGCTCATCCACAGGTTTTCTGAGGGGTTTAGGTCAGGGGACTGGGGTGGCCATGGCAGAACTGAAAGTTCCAGTAACATTTGGCAACGTTCCAAACAACTTCTGGTTATAGGGTGGTGTTTGATTGTGGTTTGGGAGACATTGTGATGCCAAGACCTCAGTAACGTTTGCAATTCCCCATCTGTGATCGTGGTAAGATTCTTTGTCCACTCGAACCATCATGCTCTACTATGCATGGGGTCAGTGTAGACATACATCCTCTTTCCAGCAGATTTTTAACATTTCCAGTTGATTTAAACTAGCTGGATTTTTCAGGAAAGCCACAAATCTGGCAACGCTGCTTGACAGGGAGGGAAATCATGAATGAAAGATGTGCATGTGGAAAATGGCACAATGCTTTTGGCTGCCGTAGCAACCCTGCAGCTTAAAATCCCCACTGAAATGCAGTTTCACTGTAGTAGTTTCCAGTGTGTTCCATAGGAGGGCTTAATGGTGAGTGTCCTTCCACAGTTGGTGCCCACCTTTATGTTTGACAGTTGGCACAGTGTTCCTTTAATCAAATGCTGCACCTTTTCTTTTCCAAACATAGGTGTTTCCAATCATACGTGTTTGTGGAGTTCCATTTTACTTCATCAGCACTTTTCAGTTTCCAAAATGCAGACTTTTTCAGACTTCAGACGCTGACTTTTGTCAGACCTCACAGGTAAGTTTTCTTTCTGATTACTCTTCTATGCAGATCATGTTTGTAAAACAGTGCTCCACCACTCTGGTTTTTTGCCTTACCTTTCTGAACCAGTATAGTAGCAGTTCTCTCTAGGTGTGAAAATGGGCATGTCAACTGTTTATCTATTTTCTTGTAGCCATTTCTTGATTTGTGCAGCTTAACAACTTTTTGTTGTACACCATTGATGTTTTCTCTGGTCTTTCTCAGAGTGATGGATGACTGGGGGAATTTCGCTTTTGTTTCATCTCATATTTATTCCCCAGTGAAATAGGAAGTCATGGCTGACCATTTAAGTGTTCCTAATTGCTCAGGTGAACTATATAACATGAAATTGAATTGAAACATACTTAATTTAGTTTTCACTCTTAGGAATTTCTAGGGATGCCAACAGTTGTGGTGCACATAGATTTAGGAAAAATATTTATTTCATGACAAGATTTAGTTTTTTCTTTCAATCATTAGACCATAAATAAAGGTTGGATTTTTACTAAAATTTAGAATGAAAGATCAAAACGAATAAATAAATATGCATATTTTTACATCTCATTTTGCTCACAATTGCTAATATTTGTGTAGGAGGCACCATATATATAGTATAAAAATATGTTTGTTCTCTCATTGGGTGAGGAGGGAGCTGTGTGGTTAGGATAGCTTTATTGGCAGGCC